AGAGGGAACACAAGCAGGGGGAGTGGGAGAGGGAGAAGCAGGCTTCCCGCCGAGCAGGGAGCCCGATGCGGGACTCGATCCCGGGACCCTGGGATCATGACCTGAGCTGAAGGCAGTCGCTTAACCAACTGAGCCACCCAGGCGCCCTAAATCTCTCAGAATTCTTGACGATGAACATATGTTACTTTTAGATTTTCGGATCAGTTTCATTGTTCTGTATTTTGAAAGATAAAGCTGAGTAAAGTGAGTGCATTCTTTATTAGTCAATGCAACTATACTGTAATGAGTGCTTTGGTCTGCAACTGCAGGTTTTATTTTTAGGTTTGACTGGGCTGTCACTTAGGCAAAAAAAATGACTTCTGTTCTCAGAATAAAGTAGTTGTAGTTACATTTGAAAGATAACGTTCATGCTGCCCTTTTCTCAATTATCCCGAACAGATTAAAAAAAAACAAAACAGATTTTACTAAAAACATGACAGAACAAAATATCTTCTAAAAATCTTTGTTACAATGGAACAGAGAAAGAAAATGCGGTGCATGGAGAAAGGCACTGAGAGTGTTCATCTTCTTTGGAAAGTTTGGCACATTCAAAAACCAACCCCAAAGATATTCCGGGACCTCCTCGGGCTACCATGGTGCCCTTAGAGTGGTCAACAAGTGGTACTGAGTAGGGAGTCTGCCCCTGATGTGTTTAGACTTGGACAGCTCTCTTAATTTCCATGGTCTGCTTTTTGGGCTCTGAAACAGACACAGTGATTAATATAGGCTACTTTCACAGGGACTCGAAAGAGACACAAATGAGAATAATGAAAACATCTAAATCACATGATAATAAGTATCACACGTCCACATCACGATGCCATGAGATCCAAAAATCATCCTTTAGCACTATGCAGATGTCGGTAAGAGTGAATCTTTGGGTAATCTTTGTTCCTATCATTAAATGTTTTCATTTCGTGAAGGTAGAAACTTTCACACAGTTTTACACCACTAAAATGGTTTTATTTTGCACCACCTTTTTTCATATATACCTTCTGGTGCCAGAAATGTACAGATATGTGCTGTTATTTGAACAAGTATTTAGAATTGTCTGTCTCTCTTAAGACAATGACTTGTGCTTTACAGTAACAGAATTCAAAAAGACAAAAAGCTTTCCATTCTCAGAAAAAAAAAAATAAATAAAAAGAAAAGAAAAAAAGCAAAAAAGCTTCCACACTCACCAAAATTGAATTTTTGCATGCTTGCTTTATCATTTTGGTGTGATAAGCTGCAGGGGACTACCATTTCACTAATTCTGGACCTTCAGTTTTGGCACACTCATCTCATCAGCTAGCCAGTGATCCCCCTGTGTCAACACTGACAATGGTACAAAATTTTAAAAGTAATAACTAGTGTTTGTGTTTCATGTAATAGCCTATGTCATCTGAATTCTACTGCGTGAAATGGGTTTGGTTCACTCAGCACACAAAAGTCTTCCTTTTCTTTGTATCCAAGACGATTAGGGTTCTTAAGGTATAATTTCTACTCTCCTCTAGAATGGTATGTTTATTCTCTACTATATATTATACAGAATTAACCTAATCTGATCATACAAAAAATGATTCCAGAGATCAAATATTTAACTCACTAGGTACATGGTCGATTTTGATATCATAAAGGTATCAGAATGAGCCCCTTTCAATCAGAAGTTTGCAGACACTTCAAGTGTACATACTAAATAATTGCATAAAATACTTACAGGCTCTAGACATCTATATGCTAGGTATCCATACTCAAATACCTGTATTTGAGGTCATGTTCTCTTAATAAAGTATACATAAAACTCAATTTACCCCGGTTAGAAATTATTCAAGGTAAAAAAAGGAATGGGATCTTAATATAAAATAGGCTTTAGCTCTTACCTATTTTCCTCTTAACAGAAGTAAAAATGTTTAATATTAATTAATATCTATATACTACTAAGAGTGAGAAAAGATGGTGTTATGTCTGACAGTTAGGGAACCTAATATATAGGAAATTAAGAATCTTCTTCCAGGTTAGAGACTTCTCTGGGCGCTGATTGTTCCTTTATCACAGCACACAGAATTCTGTATTGTTAGCTGTAATCATTTCGTGGAAATGACCTAAAGATACACTTTCAGAGTTAGTGTGCCTTCCTCAGTGTAGCTCCCTCATCCCCAGCTCTCAGCAGAATTCCTGGCATATAGTGAATGTTCAGTAAAGAGCTGCTGAACATAGATGCATTGTGCAAGAGCTGGAGTAGTCCTGATCATCTTCCTGGAACCCTTGTTTTGTTCACCTATATGAATATATTTTTTGGCTTGATATATAAAGGGAAAATTTAATAGAAGAAGAAGAGAAGGAATCCCTTTATTCTTGGTTTTGTTTGTTTTTTTTTCATATGCAAGAATAGGTGAAACAATGTTGCCGTTGGCAAAGTGTGCCATTTAATTATGATTCTGGATATTACTTTTTAGTCACGTGGAATGACAGAAGATTGTAAAACTCAGGGAAAAGAGAAGGGCTTCGTAGGGGGAAAAAAATCTCTCTCTATATTCAGACACTGGCTCTGGCACTTATTAGCAGAGAACTTTGGGGAAATAAATTCTTTGAGCCTCAGAGATCACGTTTGGAAACTGACATATAAATCACAGGTTTCGATGAGATATGATTGTGAAGCTCCTAACACAGTGTCGGGCTCATAGAGGATACTCAAATACGGTAGAGCTTGCTATTATGATTACTCTCTTACCCTTGGCCTATGGAATAATCCTTTTGGACTTTTCCGGTTTGGGTTAGAAAAGAGGGCAGGAGGAGTAACAGTGACCTGAAATTTCCTTGAAGCCCTTCTTGTCTTCCGGCAATCTGCTGTCTCCTCTTGATTCAGTCCGGCCTAGCTGCAGAGGATCTTTCCACGAAAGCTAATTGTTGCCACTCAATGGGACCCCACAGAGGAGTACCCATCCTCTCAGAGAAAGTGTTATTTTACCCATCTCTGCCAATACTAAAGACAACCAAATACAACAGCTTCCAAGTGGTCAATTTAGGCAGAGCTTTAAGGTTGGCTCTATTTCTCAGGTTCCCCATCCAGAAAATGAGTTAAATCCTTCATGCACTTTAAAGGGGAGCCTGATGTGGGGCTGGATCCCAGGACTCCGGGATCATGACCTGAGCTGAAGGCAGACACTTAACCAACTGAGCCACCCAGGCGCCCCTGTATTTTGTTTTTAATATCCCACTTATCAGACCTATTATGGGTATAGAGTGTTACTCTGAGCTTATAAATAGGAAGGCACTAATGAGT